TCGTGTTTGTTTTTTGCACGTGGGGCACGTCCCACATCGTCTCGTCGTCAGCCATCAACAAAGTGCAATCGCACGATTTCTGTTTGTTGTCTCTGACTCTGACGAAAGGGGGGGGGGGGGAATTGCACCAGTCGGGACTGCCTGGACCTCAAAAATCAAATTTAATTAGACTCCTGCGACGTTCGCTGTTGATCTTAAAGATTTCATAAATCCCCACACCAAACGTCATCAAAAAACTCTCTCTTCCCCCCCCCCAGACACGCCCAACGTATAATCTCTACTAGTTATGGCTTCATTCATTTGTTCGAATCCTTATTGTAACTTACCTAGTTAATCTCACTGGACTCCCAGTTGTCATGTGGTATGTCGTTTGACATAATTCAAGCTCCTGATATGTCAGTTTCTGAGTTCTAGAAGAACTATATGAATGTACATCAATTTTAATAGCTGCGATAAAAAACGCGCTCCATTTCGCATGATGATACACATGCTATCCAGAACATTGCTACATTTAAGGGTGAGGGAGGGTGAGGGGGAGGGGTTTGCTTCTTGGTGAAAATAATTTGAAATTATATTGCTATCATCATTCTCTACCATTTTTACTTTCAATCTTGATTTTATTTATTTTCTAAATTACTTCTCTCTAGTATTGTATTAGGTTGGAACATATGTATTGCGCCGAAATTATTTAATATCCCGTAATCTCATTCAGGCTCAATGAATCTGTTTCAAATGATATAATTCAAAGAGAGAAAACCTTACACATACCAAGTATTTTCAAAACAAAAACTACTATTGTCATATCGCATTGACATAATCTGTTGAAAGCAAACACTCAAATTGCGTTTTTCAACTTTTAATCCGCAAGAATGTTGGAAGCTCCAGAAATTTTCAATCTTTTCAGAATGTTTCATGACCTACGCTTTTTGACTAAGATAGAATCGTGTTGATAAAACATCTCTACAAGAAGTTGCAACTTTCAAATTTTTATTTTTGAGTTCTAATATTATTCGAAATGAAATCTGTGTTTTCTACGATAAAAGTACCCTTTGATTCAACTGGCTTGGCTCCTGGAAGGCGGGGCTTCGTGACCGAATAAAGGCTATGTAATGATCAGAGAGCACGCGCGCGGGGAGACGCAGACTGCAAGCGGCCTTAATTAAGTAATGAAGCCCCGCCTCCCAAAAGCCAAGCCAGTTGAATCAAAGGTTACTGCATGAATCACAAGAATAAAAAAATCCTATACACGTTGAAAAGCTGTTCTACGATTTTGAATAAATTTTTTACAATTTTTTTGCATAATACCAAGCTAGTAATTGCGTCAATACATCACGATTTACCATGCAACATGGATCAACTGAGCCCAAGAAACCGTTTTTTTTTTCATAATTTTTGAGAGAAATTCTGAACTTTGCCTTTCTTGTTTTTTTCACTCATCTTGCTTCGCCAGCTCAATTACTAATCCTTTGTTCTAGTCATTCCTATGAGTATACTCAAAGTTCTTCGCGTCCATATTTAGGCACTGAGTCATTTATTTAATTAGTTTCCGTTGTTCCATGGTTATATTAGTGGCTCTTCAAAGATTGTGTGTGATACATTATCCTTACTATACTTGGGGAAATTCGAAATTTTTTTCGAATATTCGAATATCGAATATATTCGAAAATTGAAAATTTCGAATATTCGACTATCGAATAATATTCGAAAATCGAAAATTTCGAATATTCGACTATCGAATATATTCGAAAATCAAAAATTTCGAATATTCGACTATCGAATAATATTCGAAAATCAAAAATTTCGAATATTCGACTATCGAATGATATTCGAAAATCGAAAATTTCGAATATTCGAATATCGAATGTCATTCGAATATCGAATATCATTCGACCTTCGAATATCATTCGATTTTCGAATATCATTCGAAAAATCAATGTTTATGTGATATGATAACATGACCAAGCGCATAGTTTACAAGTACTTTAGGTCTTTGTAGTTCCCTTTTATGGGACTAATACCCTGCAGTACATGACGTACATTTCAGCGCGTTGCGCGGATTCTTTACATCTAGTCCACGCCGTCGACAACTCCACGATACACATATAGTATACACATTGTTGAACTGTATAAGTGCTTTACTCACAACTTTCGACACTACACTCGTGGCAAAAAGCATTCCTCTCGTTGGCAACGCGATAAGCTAGACCGCTGCTGCGGAAACACTATACAATGACTGGTTCTACCATATCCCTGTCCTCACACTACAACAAACGACTAACTTCTTGACACAACACTATCCTCCCGGTCGCTAGTGCATTATCTTGAGTACGCCCTCAATTTACAATGTCGAGTAGAAGTAACGCTGCGACGATATCAGGAACACCTTCACGTTCACGTTCACATCTATCACCTTTTCCGAATGCGAATGAAGAACAGCGTGCACGAACAGCGTGCATCTATCACCTCAGGCAGGATCGGTAGTAACCTGGTCGGAACTCAGAGTTACTCTGACTTAACTCTGAGTTATATCTGAGCTGACTCGCACCTTTCTTACCCCTTCAACAGCTGGATGGACCAAATCTAGAAGGCGATATATGGCAGGAGACCCCGTAACCGGCAATTTATCCCTAGTAGGAAAACACTGTCGAAATCATTCTGCACAAGAAACAGCGCAACCGAACGCGCAGCTGTGCTTTGCGATAACTGTGAGTTTGGTGGGCGTTACAGTCTATCGTGGAACTCAGAGATAAATCTGAGTTTGGTCAGAGAAAAATAGTGTACAAAAGAAGAGATGCAACTAAAAAGTCCTCCGGATATGTTTTGCTCGTACTTTCAGCAGGCATGTGGGGGGGGGGGGGGATCGTAATGACCAGTAACTACAAAATTTTGAAATTTTGTTAAACCTTGGTCTAAGAGGTTGTTCGGTGCGCAGATCAAATATGGTACTCATTTTTCACTTTTTCCTGTTGGGGTCATAAAGCCGTGTGACGGTGGATCTAAACGTTAAAACTCTAAGTTTAAGCTCTAAAATTTACTCAATGGCGCTCATGAAGAACTGATAGACGTTGTTGAAGAACATCAAAATCTGGCGTCCCTGGATAGCGAAAAATCGATAGCAGCTACATCTGCCATAAAAATGGCGCATCACGATTACTGTATAAAATACTGCGCCAGGACCACAAAGCATATACATATACACGGGTGGCGGACTTTATGAACGATAGCGCGCGCTTAGGCAGGCGTGTGTCAATAAGGTGCGCACCGTTAGCCCCGCCTATCGCAACATGGACGAGTTCTTTGCAGTACAGCTCTGGCACTGGTTCATGGCCATGTTCCCTAGTCAAGTGAAAACAACTTCTGATGGTGTGAGCTATAAGCTTGTTGCAAGCTGGGAGCTTGACTATTTACAGTATTTTGTTTTCCCTTTTTTTCTTTTTTTTTTGCCAGTCATGAGCAACTAATGTGTTGATCGTGACATCCAAGAGATTTGCTGATTTACCTATAAATGACCGGATAACTCCTGGATATCCAACTTTGAAGTGTGAAATCAATCTAGAACACCTCAGGCATGATTGTCTGGGTGACTTCACATCTTACGACTAGTTCACACGCAATTTCGATTGAGTTACAGATCAATTTTTACTGAGGGTAGCAGTTTTTGAAAGCAAACAAAAGAAATTATTTGTTATTTAAATTATTTGTTATTTAAAGCAGATTCGAAAAAATTTAGTGCAGTGTGATTTTCCTTTTTCTGAAATCTGAAAAAGTTCGTGTGATATGACCGCATATTTGCCAAACGAGGATATCTAATTGTGCGAAACATTACCAAATGTAATGTTTGATGTAACAAGTTATTGAAATATTTCTCAATAAGTTGAATTCTTTTCAAACTAAACTTAGGAGTGCACAAAAAAGAATGTTAAAAAAACTGATTTTTAATTTGATTAAAAATTTTGAATTCTACTGTTATTTAAATTGCAACCAACTGAAGAAGCATGAGCGAAATATTAGAGAGTTTTTCAATGGCTGCAACGCATTCCTAAGCCAATTAACGAGGGGGCGGCGCGATCAGCGCACCGCGTACGGTACCCAGCTGGCGGCTGGCACATGCTATCGTTCATAAAGTCAAACATCCCATATACACTCCCCATTGAGAGTTGTAGCATAGAAACTCCTACAGTGACGTGCTAGGCTTAAGGAGTTCCATCTAGGGCCCAGCATGAGATCGTGTCTAGGCTTCTTGAAAACGAAGTCCCCTTTGACTGTCAGCCCCAAACGTAAGAAACCCTCAAAAGACGAAACGCCGACTAAAAAACGTCGCAATTTTTGGCCACAAAAATGATATCCTTTTGCTTTTTCGCTCCAAAAACCAAATCCAGCTTGCTTCCATACAATCTGCGCCGTGCTCTGATTTCATCATTCAAATTATCGAATATTCGAATAATCGATGTTCATCGAATGATTCGAATATTCGATGTCCATCGAATGATCGAATTGATGACCATCGAATATTCGACTTTCGAATAATATTCGAAAATCGAGATTTTCGAATATTCGACTTTTGAATAGTATTCGAAAGTTGAAATTTTCGAATATTCGAATATCGAATATATTCGAAAACTGAAAATTTCGAATATTCGACTTTCGAATTTTATTCGAAATCTCAGATTTTCGAATATTCGACTTTTCGAATGATTCGCATTCGAATAATTTATTCGAATAATCGAATAATCATTCGATTCGGTCCCAAGTATAATCCTTACCTTCATTCATGCATTCATTCATTCTTTTTTGACATTCTTTTTGCTTATTCTAAAAATTATTTCTTAAGCTGTTGCCCGAATTTTGCGCATTTTTTATCTGACATTTCTCACTTATTGCCTAATAATACGTCGAGTAATTAATTATTGCACCATCTATATTCAGTATTTGTTGATCGTACATTCACTGATTTCCCGTTTCAAAATTTATTTGATGTTTTTGCAAACTGAGACACCTACATTCAGATGACGAAGAGACCTAATGATGATGACGTCGACTGCATCGAAGAACCTCCGACTAAAGTGGCTTGCCCAGATACGAGCGATAATGACGGTGCGTTTCTGTTATTAGTGTAATTACACAAATCATTTGAGCGTGATCTTGCCTGTTTACGAGATTTTAATTACTGTTTATATATATCATACAATAAAAACAAGAAGACTCATTTTATGTAGAATTCTTCAACACGCTACTTCTCACTTGTTTTCGTTTTTTAGTTTTATTTTTCAAATTTTTTTGGTGGAATTTTCCCTGTTTCAACATCAAGAGAGATATTTTCATTAACAATTTTTCTTATACAACTTTTAGCCTAGATCTATACTTTACATACATATAATCTGGCTAACACGCGTCATCCTCAACCTTCCTTCCACATTTCCGACAATGTCCGTGAAAACTTGGTTATAGGGACTCTGGGGACCAGTTTCGCCTACTTGCAGTAAATCTATAGTAAGTGTCAAGTTAAGAAATGTGTCCTTAACACGAATCCGCGCTCTCTGCATATTCCGTGATACCCAATAAAAGTTCAGTGACTTTGTTAGTGGGAACTTATTCGGGGACCAGTTCTCGCACGTTTATAACAGCAAGCACAATCAGGATTCTTTTCCGACTTTTGATCCTTTTTCATGCCTCACTATGCTAGCAAAATTTTCTTGTATTTTTTTTTCAAAAATTGTCTTTCATAATGTCCGTTGAACATGAGCTGGAACTTTTGGGGACTTTGGGGACCAGTTTTCGCATGTCGCTGTACGGTTAAGGATTTCCTTGTTATTCGATTGAGCAAATGTCCTACCCTTGCAGAAATGGAATGAATTTCTGACCTTGTTATTCTACTTAGAACTGTACTTTTAATGAGACGCTTTCAAGACCTATTTATTAGTAGACCCCCCCCCCATAATCAAAATCAATTATTTATCATATTACGCGTTCACCTCGTCTTGTTTTTGAGTTCTGCGCTTAGCCACTCCTAATTTGCGCAAAGCGGAAGTTTTTCAAAATCTCCTTCGTGAGAATGCCTAAATTCATAACTCATTTATTGAAAACATCATAGTAACCATCTCAAGAATGATGTCATCACCTCTGCTTATTTGTCTTGCCCCCCGTCCTCCTCTCCCTACGTAACCAACGTCATTCTAATTTTTCACTTCCCTCATAATCTTTACTCCAAGCTTCACCTGATCTCTGCTGACGTAAAAACTAACAACCAACTGCGGACATCGGACTCTTTGTCGGGCGGAGCCTAGGCGTAGTTAGGAATGGGAGGAGGGGGGGAGGAATTATGACGTGATTCGAAGCGAAATATCATACTAATAGGGACAACGGGTAAGTGCCGTACTTACTCGGGCAACGGACAATTTTCAATATTCTCCTCTCATGAAAGATTGATTGTTCCGCGCTTGGCTCCATTTGCTCCATTTCTTTCCTTTCCTCAGATGGAGTGTCTAATTTTCAGTCTTCGCCTGGAATTCTCAGTGAGGAGAGAGAGCTTAGAATGTTTTTTAAGAAAATTTTCAGAAACTTTTTCTTGACAAGCGAACACATTCCCTTACCCAAGTTGAAAAACGAAGTGCTTCTTCCCTAAAATAATAATTTTCAAAGTCACAGTGCTTTGATTTTGTAAATTCTGAAAGAAATTGAGTATAAAGCTAGGCTGCAGATAGTTTGCATGTCGAATAATTGTCGATCAAATTTAAATGTGAAAATTACATCATTAAATCATTTGACACACCTACACTTCAATTCAACTGGATTGGCGCCAGGAAGGCGGGGCTTGGGACTAGTTGAGGTTAGAGAGCATTCGCGCTTGAGAGACGCAGACTGCGTCGCGGGCGCAAGCGGTCTTAATTGGGTTACAAAACCCCGCCTTCCAGCCGCCAATTTTGTTGAATCAAAGATTAACCCCGACGCAAGAAGCAGATAATCAAACAAAAATTATTCTATAGTCTATAAGATAGCTTTATCTTTTTTCCTTGTGAAAAAACTCTGGAAAGCTTTTGGGCAATGCTCTCAGCTATTTCTGGTTTTTCTGTTTAATAGATAAATCAATTGGGCTTGCGACAATTAAGTGTAAAATTCAATTCGAGTCACACAATTTGAAAACAAGTTCGAAATGCCTCTCTCATCTTTTTTTTTCGGGTCAACAGTGCTGTCTGTTTGAATCATTGTGATTCAAGTGGAAAGATAAGAACATTACACTTGACACTTTTTCAATTGCGTGTCTCATAGCTCTTCATTAAATTATCAACGTAAGCAAATTCGTTTTTTGAAGCATTGAAGAATATGACAATTTTTCCACGTGATATATTATGCGTGGATCAAAGGGGGTGAAATTTAAACAAAATCTTCATTCTGTACTCCATACTTCAGTTTGTATTCATTAAAAAAAGATTTTTTGCAATAGCTATTGTTTGAAAACAACAACACTTTTCTTCGAAGTTCTTCAACATTTTTTCGATACTAAAGACTTTTTTGATTATTACTACTATTTTCCATTGATTCATCATAATTGTAATAATCTATCTACTTTTACTAATTATGCTCATTAGGTTTTTGACCGCGATTTCAAGCCTTGTCAGCGATATACGATTTTTTTAAATAACCTCCTCAACCTATCGCTATGCCCAAGTAATTAAGTAAATATGAATTGTCGGATTTAGCGCTCTATTAAAGTTTTTCTGCTTCTGGCAATACATGTACTTCTCGTAATATGGTACTTTTTGTCAATTTTCAACATTATTAATTTTCATTGATGTAAAGCTCCATAAATAAACTGGCTTCGTCACCGCCGAACAATGGCAAGGCTTTTCCTTTTTTCTACAAATTAAATGTGGCTCTATAATAATTGGACCAGCTAATAGAATCTCTTTGTTTACTTTATGAAAAATCAAATTTGGCTCTTATAACCAAAATGACTGTTCATTTAATACATAGAAAGTGTGTTATTGCACCTGTTACACCTCCTCATACTAGATGGAATCAGCCGCCTATGTGTGTCAAAATAAAATTGGTAGTCTGTAAATTAGCGTGCATAAACAAAGACAAATTTACGACTAGATAACAACAGCAATAATAACAGGCAAATTCGTATCGTAATTAACATGGTCGCCTTACTGCGTTTGTTTTTTGCACGAATAACTGCATTACTTGTGAGATTGCACACCGCGCGCTGTACCTTACGACTGTGTAATTTAATCGTGTAGAAATTGTTCAAGCGAATTGAGGGGTTGTGAATTGATTATTCAAATCTGCTTAGATCCATTTGAGTTTGAATAGAGAAGAAAAAACAGGGTTACATGGAAATAGTAGCTTAAAAAGCGAAGAAGTCGTGAAATTTCACGCATGTTGTGCAGTACATACACCATTTCAAGCTACGAATGACCTGGAGTATGTATAGTTTGCATTTTACTATAGCAATACCGTTATCACTATATCCAAAGCTAATTTTGGGTAGAAAAACAAAATAAATCATCATATTCTTCAAATTCCTTTTTCTCCTTTTTTTCTTTCTCTTCGTCAAATTTATTGTTGGCGCGCAGTATAAGTGCAATCGCACAATAATCACCATTTGATTGCACTAGAAATTGTGTGTACTTTCCATAGCGCCGACATTATCATTCCAAATTGTGTCTGCTTTTTATACGAATGCGATTTTCGACATGGATTCCCGCGCTTTCCTTTTTGTAGTGCGTTTGAAAACGTTAAAATGTTGGCGCAGAATGGCTTAAAGCGACATTAAATTGGCAAAAAAGGAAATATTCTAACCATTTTTGAAAATTGCCTTTGCGAAACGGAACCAGTCAGCCTAAACGGGTTTAGTTTTGTTTGTCTGCTGTTTTTGTTGCTGGGGACCAAGCTAATGGCATAATTTAACCAACTGGCTCGCACACTGGTGCATAACCTTATGGGTTTTGTAAACTTCTAAAAACATCAGAGCGGAGCCATTGCTTTTTTCATGCTTCCTTTAACCATCCTAAGATATTATCACAGTTTCTTTTCCAAAGCCCTAGAATATGCCTTTGAAATAAAAAAAAAGGACTGCAAAAAAGCAAGTATTAGTCAGGCTGAAAGTACCTATTTTTGTGAAAATTTTTGTGAAGTTTCAGTTTAATTGAACAGCAGCCTTTCCTACATTTTCATAATTATAATAATTATCTGAGCTTGTTTTTTTATTCAAGTAACAAAGAAATCATAAACTGGATTCCATGTTTGAAAAGTTTGAGTAATAATTATGAAGTACATTCGCTATATCTTTCGATATGACTATATAGAAAAGTTTGCTCTTCTTTGCATTGTTTTGGAGTTGATTACCGTAATTTTTACAAATAACTTCTTAGGAAATGATTTCATCAAATGCTCAGACACATAGAAAGTTATATAAGTGTGTGAGTGTTGAAATGAAGCTTCAATTGGCACTATAATGAGACCCTAACTGGTACTCCTACCGTGTCCATTCTGGTCGTAATTTTATGTGTATGTGGTGCAGAATCAGACATAAGTTGACCTCCTTTGTCCATTAAGAAACTTTCAATCAAAAGTATCAATCTTTAACTCCCTAGATGTTAGTTTTCTATGTAAGGTGAGGACGACTTCCTCGTTTTTAGTCCTCAAAATGACTTATTGATAAAGTTCTTCTTTTTTTATGTAGAGTTCTTAGCTAATATCATAACCCATCTCATGCATGTGGTTTTGAAAATTTCAAAGGATATTAAACTTTAATAATTTTAACTATAATCTATAAGATAGTCATCGAGTTAGTGCTCAGTGTCATAGCACAATCGTATCTTTTCCTATCAACCATAAAATAATAGAAACATTACACAGGTTTCAAACTATCAGAGTTTCGGTCATTGGAGCAAATTTGGAGCCTTCGCAATAGCGTCTCCCATAAATTTAACAATTCTAAATAAATTTCTTTGATGAAGTCCTTAGAAAACGGTGAAAGCCATCAACGTTAACCCTCTAGCTTTTTACAGCCCTGAAATTCTAGCTTCTATGTAGATCCGGATTCGTATCTTTGATGTGCGACTTTTTTGATGATTGAATTTGCCAGTGCT